GGAATAAGTAATTGATTATAGGAGTAAATATCAATCACTTATTACTAAAATAAACTTCAAATATCAAAATGAAAAATGTGAATAAATCTAGAGTACTATTTATAACATTAGTCAAATAATTTATATGATAGTATTATTAACATTTTGAATATAATCAATATATTAATAGTGCGATATTTCTTTTTACAATATGATCAATTTAAGTCCCACACCTTCAAATTATTGACGAGCTACATGTGATATTATCCAAAATAATAGAACGTTATAAATGATGAAGAATAGTTGTATAAACTATCTCAATATTTCATATTACTAGAAAAAAATAAATTTAAGTGTTGATATCATAATTGCATGCAGAAAATACTTGAATACAGGCATATATTTTACGAAAAATAATTTAAGAAATAAGTGTTTATCTGCTATATTATCGTTCAATATTTAAATAAAAAGTAACCCAAAAAACAAAACTTCAAATATCGAAATGAAAATTATGAATAAATCTATGGATACTATTTATAACTTTAGTTAATTATTTCTATGGACACTATTATTAACATTTTGAATATAGTCAATATATTGACAGTGGGATATGTCCTTTCAATATTATCAATTTAAGCCTCCATCCCTTCAAATTATTGACAAACATGTGATATTATAAAAAAAAAATATGCATATTATAAATGATGAAGATTTGTTGGATAAAAATTACTCTCAATATTTCATAATATTAGAAGAAGAAAAAAATATTTGGAAAATGTAGATATTAGAGCTTCATGCATAAATATTTAAAAATTTTATTATATGCATATATTTATGAAAGATAATTTAAGAAATAAGTGATTGATATTAGGAGTAAAACATCAACCACTTACTCTAAAATAAGTTAATAGCCATATCAAAACTTCAATAATCAAAATGAAAAATGTGAATAGTTCTAGAATCCTATTTAAACTACTTTTAATATTTCATATTACTAGAGAAAAAAAAATATTTTAAAAATGTTGATATCATAATTTCATGCATAAATACTTAAAATTTAAGTATATATGCGTATATTTTATGAAAATGATTTAATGATTAACGTTGAGCGTAAAATATCAATCACTCCTTTCTAAAATATCAATCATATTACTATTCAATATTTAAATAGAAACAGCCAAAAGTTCAAAACTTTAAATATCAAAATGAAAAACGCGAATAAATCTAAAATAACATTTATAACTTTAATTAATAAATTATATGCACGGTATTATTAACATTTTAAATACAGTTATTACATTGATATTGCGATCTGTCATTTCAATATAATTATTAAGTAGTACTTATATTTTGGAAAGGGAATAACTAAAAATGAAATGGAAAAAATATATACATTTATTTGGTTTTGAACTTCTAAAAAGATAAAATAGTTTAAAGTAACTAGCTTAAAAAAACACTATATTAAAGACATAAATGTAGTGCTCAATCGATATTCGATATTCTCTTCGTTTTCTTTACTTGTCATATTTCGTTTTATCATAATAAAACTACATAAATTTTAATTAATATTTTAAAATCAACTTTTTTCAATATCATCAATATGAGAAAAAAAACAATTTATCATATTTTTCATATAGCGGTTAGATATCTAAATTATTGAATGATTCTTCTGTAATTTAACTTTTAAAATTAATCAAATTAATCTTCATACAATTTCAAATTTGCATAAAAAAGTATTATGCTATTCAATATCCCAAAGAAGAAAATCAAAATATCTAATTAAAAATGAAAGAGTACTGACATTATTGGTGTGACAAGTAAGGTGAACATAAATACTGAAAATCGAAGCGAATCAAAAAATATTATATTCTTTGGTATTTCAGTTCGATATCGATTCTTTTTTTTTCGAAACTTCGATTCTTCGGTTCGGAGTGTGAAGTGAACAACAATTGTTACTTTATCATATTCTTTCTTTATTTTTATTTACACCGAAAAATTGATTTAACTACATTGAATTAAATTGAACCGAAGTAGAAAAAACCAAAACGAAGCGATTTAATTTGATTTGAAATATGATGCAACTTTTCTAAAAATTGAATCAAAATTTAATTAAATCGAACTGAAGAATCGAAGGTTGACACTATAAAAACAAGTTCCATGCATCATAATTGTACGTCAATACTCATAATAACTTTCTAAACATGAAATTTGATCTTCTTCTTCTTCTTCTTTCTCCCATGGAAGCCGCCATTGTCGCACTGTTAACACTCGCATTCCTCTTCTACTTCATCCTATCGACAAAAAAATCGTCAAAACTACCATTACCACCGGAAATTGCCGGAGGATGGCCGGTAATTGGTCATCTTTTCTACTTCAACGACGGCGACAATCGTCCGTTAGCTCGAAAACTCTCCGATTTAGCCGATAAATACGGTCCTGTTTTCACTTTCCGTCTCGGACTTCACCGGATGTTAGTAATCAGCAGTTACGACGCCGTAAAAGAATGTTACACCAAAAACGACGCCGTATTCGCGAATCGTCCAGCTTGTCTCTACGGCGAATACATTGGGTACAATAACGCTATACTTTTTCTAGCTAATTACGGATCTTACTGGCGAAACATAAGAAAATTAATAATTCAGGAAGTTTTATCCAACTCTCGTCTGGAGAAATTGAAACATGTGAAGATCGAGAAAATTCGAAACGAAATCAAAAATCTCAATTCTCGAATTCAAAATAGTGAAGTGAAATCAGTGATAAACTTAACCGATTGGTTGGAGAAGATGAATTTTGGGCTAATTGTGAAAATGATAGCAGGGAAAAATTATGAATCTGGAGGCGATGGAGATGAAGAAGTGGAGAGATTTAGAGAAACTTTTAAGAAATTTCTGGTTCTGTCAATGGAATTTGTGTTGTGGGATGCATTTCCGATTCGGTTATTTAAATGGATAGATTTTCAAGGTCATGTGAAGTTGATGAAGGAGACGTTTAAGGATATCGATTCGATTTCTCAGAGATGGTTAGACGAGCATGTGAAGAGGAATACGGAGGTTAATGAAGATGAAAAATATGAAAGAGATTTCATTGACGTAATGCTTTCAAAAATGAGCGACGAACGTCTCCATCAGGGTCATTCTCGTGATAACGCTATTAAAGCAACAATTTTTGTAAGTTTTATCCTCTATATTTTCATTTATGTCACGTTATTTGACTTGATAATAATGTACGAATCATTCACATTTTGGATTATTTTGTAATAGGGATAATGCACAAGTACCTTTTCAACTTATCATTGAAATTTCAGAGACACACTTATAATATACTAAGGTCATATTACCCTGGACTTATTTTATCAATAATTTTCTACCCCTTTATTAATCTATATAATGTGTTGATAGTAACGTTTATTTCTTTACTTTGTTTGTTCAGCTTAAAGTAAGTTATACAAAATAAAATAAAATGTTTCATTTGAAATTTCGAGATCAAAATAAACGATCCCTTCGATTATAATCAGGAGCGACAAACATATTAATGGTCTGAAACAAAAATTAAACAGGGCCTTAAATTTGAATTGTTAATAACTTTTACATAATTGATTTTTTCTAGTTTTCAATTGATAATACAACCATTTTTATTTTAAATTATTTTTCATGAGTTATAGTACTCAAATTTCTTCTAATAATTTCTATATTTTTCATAAAAAGTTTATTTTTTCTACCAATAGTATTCTATATTTGTTAAAAAATAATAACTTATAACCTATTATTACTAGAAATGAGACCTCTTAAACTTTAGTCATATTTCCAACTTATAACCTATTATTACGACGCATGTCTTTTTTTTTTAACACTGTCAAGCCATCCCTGATTATACTAAAAGAGACTCGAATAAAAACTCTTAGCTTAAAAACTTTAACTTGTAATTTTTTTTCAGAGTATGGTCATGGATGCAGCAGACACTGTTCCTCATCACATAAACTGGGGAATGACATTGTTGATTAACAATCAACACGTCTTGAAGAAAGCTCAAGAAGAGATCGACACAAAAGTTGGCAAGGCTAGATGGATAGACGACAATGATATCAAGAATTTAGTGTACCTTCAAGCCATCGTTAAAGAGACGTTACGTTTATATCCACCGAGCCCTTTGTTAGTACCACATGAAAACACAGAGGAATGTGTTGTTAGCGGGTACCGCATACCTAAAGGCACTAGGCTATACGCGAACGTCATGAAACTACAACTAGATCCTAAAGTATGGCCAAATCCTGAACAGTTCAATCCAGATAGATTTCTCAGTACAGACATTAATTTTCGTGGTCAAGATTATGAATTCATTCCATTTGGATCTGGAAGACGATCTTGTCCTGGAATAAGCTACGCGCTACAAATGGAACACCTAACAATAGGACATTTGATCCAAGGTTTCAATTATCAAACTCCATCGAATGAGCCTTTGGATTTACAAGAAGGAATCGGCATGACTATGCCGAAGGTGAATCCGGTGGAAGTGATAATAACACCTCGCCTTGCGACCGAGCTTTATGAAAAATTAAGTTAGATATTTCAATATTTATTGAAATTGATTATCGACGAATAATCTTAATATTTCTACCTCTATATTTCAAATAATGTACTACTTTGATTGTATTTATTTTCTACTAATAAATAACTTTAAGTTGATCTTATGATTTTTTTTTGCATGAACATCATTATGAGTAGTAGATATATTTTTAGGCTGAATTCATCGGTGATCATTTAAAGTTGATATTAATAAAGATTCATTATTTAAACAACTTTTAATATTTATATTATTAGAGTTGGAAAAAAAATATTTGAAAAATATAGAACTTTATGAATAAATAATTATAATATCATCATTTATAGTTTTAAGAGCTATACTTTCTTTAAAAACCAAATATTGTTGATAAAATTTTTTTACCTCAAAATAAATATTATTTTAAAAATTGAAGTAAAGTTGTGGGATTTAAGGAAGCTTTTAGGAAATTTCTAGTTCTGTCAATGGAATTTGTGTTGTGGGATGCGTTTCCCATTCCGTTATTCAAATGGATAGATTTTCAAGGTCATGTAAAGTTGATGAAGAAGACGTTTAACGATATCGATTCGATTTTTCAAAAATGGTTAAACGAACATGCGAAGAGGAGAGATACGTCGTTAATGGAGTTCAATGGCAGTGGTAACGAAACAGATTTCATTGATGTGATGCTATCGAAGATGAGCAGTGAACATCTCCATGAAGGTTATTCTCGTGATACCGTTATCAAAGCAACAGTTTTTGTAAGTTCATTTCTCCTTTTAAATCATTCACTCTATTCGCCGCGTTTGATTTGCAATTTGAAAACTCGCATAGTAAAGTTTTAATTCTTCTAATAAAAATTCCAGAGTTTGATATTGATTTTCGTGGTCAAGATTACGAGTTCATTCCATTTGGTTCTGGAAGACGATCTTGTCCCGGAACGACCTGTGCGTTGCAAGTGGAGTACCTAACGATAGGTCATTTGATCCAAGGTTTCGATTATAAAACTCGATTGGATGAGCCTTTGGATATGAAAGAGGGACCTGGTATGACCATGCGTAAGGTAAATCCTGTAGAAGTAATAATAACGCCTCGTCTCACACCTGATCTTTATAAAATTTAAGTAAGATATTTCTATCTTTATAAAAAATGATTAATAATGCCTAGTTTCAATAAGATTAAATTATTAATCACGATTATGTATTAAACCTTTATATTTTTTTTTTGGGTGTGCATGAAGTTTGTATCAGTAAGTTAATCTAAAAGCTACATAATTATATATTAGGCGCATAACTCAAAAGATTCAGAATGTTAACTATTTAGGTGAATATGAAGTTTGTTTTAGGGTCAAGTATCATTTGATTCGGTTTAATTTTGAGATTTATTAGTTTTGACTTATTAATTTATGAATGTGATAAACTGTTATAGAATTATTATAAGTTGGATTTATCAGCTATATGCCTAACGCATTTAGGTCCTTTAATTTAGGAAAAATTGTATATAATAGCAAATTAATAACCTAAAATAAATAGAGTAACTAGGGTTTGATTTAATTGTGGTCCATAGCAAACGTTTGCAAAAAATTGTCAGGCGCCTCTCTCCCAAATATCTCGCTCGCCACTCTCCTAGATCTCGTTTGCCACCCTCGCCTTTCTCTTATACAAACAGAAGCGAAATGTATAAATTGCGTTTTTGTTTATATAAAGCGTGAAAAAAATGTATATACACATGCAAGTACATATATTTTCGTTCTATACACTTATAATTATACACTAAAAATACTTCTCTGCCAAGTTTCTTTTACCTTTCTCTCTTTCTCGTTTTATACAATTTTCAAATTGTATCTAATTTTCTCTTTCTCATTTTATACAATTAGATTCAATTGTATATTCCTTGTCAAGTCTCTTTTGTCTTTTTCTCTTTCTCATTTTATATAAATTCAAATGGTATATAATCGTTCTTATACACTTATAATAATATAATTCATTTTATGCACTTCGTTTTTATACAGTTTTCTGCCCAAGTGTCTTTCTCTTTCTTGTTTTATACTTTGCTTCAACTGTATATGTATAGCGAATTATACGGTTTCTATGTTTGATTAGAGCGCAATTATGTAAACTTTTCTATAGCATACAAATATAAATTTTTTATTTGTTATATGTGAAAGTTGCCTTTAATTTAATCTCTATTGACGTATGCTCTTCAATTTCAAGGCGTATACAAATAGCGCATATTTAACACGCATTCATTTTTTATGATCTAATATAAGTAAAACATAACATAAGATATCATGTAAAATCTAAACAAAATATGAATATCTATTTGTTAAATTTTACCAGCACAAAGTGAAAGAACATGGCAACAAATAATATACATAACAGAACTTTACCAAAACCTGCCATCTCTACACAGAACGTGTGCGTATCTACTCCACGTTTCACTTTATTCTGTTGCCACGTCATCAATCAAATCCTCAACTATTTTCCATTTAAACCTCCAAAAAAAAAAAGATTCAAATTATACTCGCAGAAAAAAAACAAAGAAACATAGCTAATGGCATTAGAATGGGTAATTCTAGGCTATGCTGCAGCAGCAGAAGCAGTTATGGTACTACTTTTGACTCTTCCGGGTACATATCCGTTACGTTCAGGTTTACTATCCGTAACTCGAAATCTCCTAAAACCATTTCTTTCTGTAGTTCCGTTTTGTTTGTTTTTGTTGTTGGATATTTATTGGAAGTACGAGACTCGGCCGAAGTGTAAATCGGCCGAGTCTTGTACTCCCACGGAGCTGATGAGGCATCAGAAATCGATGGTGAAGAGCCAGCGTAACGCGCTGTTGATCGCGTCAGCGTTGATGTTTTACTGGCTGCTTTATTCGGTGACTAGGTTGGTTACTCGCGTGGAACTATTGAATCAACGGGTTGAAAAGTTGAAGAATCAAGAATAATATTTAAGATCACAAAATAGGAGTTAAATTAAGTAGTTGTTTTTTTTTTTTGAGTATTTCGTGTTTGGTTTCTCTGTAATGTATTGCAAAGTTTTATGAGTATGGAGTAGTTATTCTGTTAATAATTGTTTATGATTTATTCGCTATTCAATCGGTTTTTTTCTTTTATTAATTGACAAAGGAAAAATCACAGTCTCAGTCTCTATCTTTGGATGCATGCGCTCAAGGTAAAATTTTGTTTTTATGCATTAACTCTTAAACAAGAGGTAATTCGCACTAGATGATAAGTCTAGAGCGAATTTCGCTAACGAGGGGTTATAAACTTGAGATCTTAGTGAAAGTTTCAAGCCAAATCATCCCATTGGGGGATAAGAACTTTTTTAATAATGAAAATAATCCTGAATCCTATTTAAATTTAGATTGATATAGAAAAGTTTTAATAAACTCTTGTTAGGAGTGTAAGGAAAATTAAATCAATTTTTTAAAGGGATAATGATATATAATAGTAAATTAATAATCTAAAATAAATAGAGTAGTTAGGATTTGATTTAATTGCGCTTCGTTTGCTAAAATTTGTCGGTCGTTTCTCTTTCAAAAATTTCGCTCGTCATTCTCCTATTTTCGCTCAATTTCTCGCTCGCTTTTTCACTTTTTATATAAATACAAGTGTATAAAAATTGTTTTTATTTGTATAAAGTAGAGAAAATTGTATAAATACATATATTTTTGTGTTCTTTTATTTATTTTTTTCAGATCTCGCTCACAATCCTCGTATTTCTCACTTATACAAACAGAAGCGAAATGTATAAATTGCGTTCTGTTTGTATAAAGCGTGAGAAAATTGTATATATGCACATGCAAGTACATATATTTTTGTTCTATATACTTATAATTATACAATTAAAATACTTTCATCCTCAGTTTCTTTTGCCTTTCTCTCTTTTTCATTTTATACAAATTTAAATTGTATCTAATTTTTTTATTTTTTGTTTTATACAATTCGATTTAATTGTATATTTTATGTTCAAGTTTCTTTTATCTTTCGCTTTCTCATTTTATACAAATTCAAATTATATATAATCGTTCTATATACTCAAAATCATATAATTCATTTTATACACTTTGTTTATACAATTTTCTGCCTAAGTATTTTTTTCTTTTTCGTTTTATACAATTCGCTTCAACTGTATATGTATAGTGAATTATACGGTTTCTATGTTTGCTATGAATCGCAATTATACAAATTTTATTATAGCATACAAATATAAATTTTTTATTTACTATATGTGTAAGTTGCCTAGCTATAAATTGAACTTCAAATTGAAAAAACTTTGAAAAAGCTCAAACCAACCCCTGCTCTTTACCCACACAAAGAGCATAAAGAGCAACGTAAAGCCCAAAAATATGTCGACATTGGACACACAATAGATGGCCCAATATGATCCAATCCATCATATGCCTCGAAATAAAATGTAAGGCTATGGATACTGAGGGGAAGCTTTAAAAAAAGGAAAAATTAGCAAAATAATCAAAATCAATAATTTAATTAGTAAAAGATTTATTATTTTAAAAATATTAGTTGAAATGTTAAAAATGTCATCGATATAGCTTGTATAATTTTGCTATGTAACAAATTTTATATTTCGTGTGGAGTTTTTGATTTATATAATTTATTAGATACATTTAATTTTATATAAATTTAATTTGTATAAATTTATTTATACATTGTAATTTGTATATTAAGATCTATATTTGGTTAATATTAAGGGTATATATATGAGAGAATATACATACTTGTATTTATATATACAATTTTATTTTGTTTTATATAAATATAAATATATTTATATATGATTAATTGTATATCAAATTAGATGATAAAAAAGTAAAATATTTAACGCAAACTATAAACAAAATTCAATAGGAGTAGAATATTTAGTTTGAATTAAAAATTTGTTATTTAATACCATTTTTCCATTTTAAATTCATGGAAGAATGCATTGAGAGTATATTTCGATACATTTACGTACAAATTCAGTGACACAAGTTATTGTTATGTCAGAAAAAATCTTGAAAGTCTTTGCTTGTGAATCAAATATTTTCTAGACATTTTATATCACAAAATTAGCAAATTGAGATGATAAATAAATTAAAAAAACTACAAATTTTCATCAGATCACTAAATACAGAAAGTAATTAACATAAAATAATACTTTCCACCATTTTAATACAAATAATAAAATGAAATAAATTTAAAAATCAACTAATACTTTTGAACTTAAATATGAAATAAATTTGATTTCAAAATAATTATGGTTATAATACATATTAAACGAATGCATCGATAAAAGAGAACAAAATAATTAAAAGCGTCTGAATCCATTACTGACACTGTAAAAATTGACAATTGAATGGCATATATCAGAACTTTGCTATCATTGGATATATGGATAATCTTTGAACACTGTAAAACCTTTGAATCAATTCATTTTCAAAATTTTTTATACAAATTAATTAGTATATTTTATACTTCTCCACTCTAAAATTTATAGCCTTATCAAGAAATAATAATATAAATATCATAATTTTAATATTAAATTAATGTTTTTTAAAAAATGTAGGAAGTAAATATATTTGAGATTCTATGGATTACTATTAAGGATAAAAGGAAATTCGCTTTTATTAATTATTACTCTCTCTGTTCGGCATTGTTTGTCATAATTTCTATTTTTAGAGTCAAATTATAAAAATTTTGACTAACATTTTAAGATACATTTTTTCGTAATTTATAATACTTTTCATATAGTTTTAGAATATATAATTTTTTTTGTCTAAAATATCGAATTAATGTGATCTAATTTACCTTTAAAAATTAATCAAATTAACTTTCGATTAACGCAACATAACAATCAATTTCGAACGAAAAGAGTACTTTCTATGTTCATTTATATGTAACTATTTTAGATTTGACGTCTCTTAAGAAATAGAGAAGTTTATCATTATATTTTTATTTATTGTTTTCAATAGATAAATTTTTATATTAATTAAATTGATAAACGTACATGTATTAATCAATTAGTTTCCTGTGTTGATCAAGTCATATTTTAAAGATTAATAACTTTCAAAAATAACATAAGAAGATTAACTCATTCATGCAGTGATTCTGTATAATGACAAATGTCAAAGATCAATTATTTTTAATACGGATATGTAAACAAAAATAGAGAGAGTATTATTTTTTTCTCAATAGGTATGTTAAGTTAAAATTTAGATAAATAAATTCGAATCGAACAGAGACTATTAATTTCTTAAATTCTTTTTATTGGTGTATAACTAAATGAAGCAAAAAAAGTGTTCTTTGGTGTGTCCCAAAACAGACCTTCAAAGTTTCCATTTTTTTTTTTTTTAGCTTCAAGAGACAGAGTATCCTATGTTTTAATCTCAGCCCTTAGATCTCTCTCACAAATGTGAAAATGCTTACAAAAATAAAATAAAATTCTATACATTTGAAACACAAACTTCACTTTTTTCTACTTCACAATCACCAAAGCTCCCCAACCCCCCCACCTCCCCACCCCACCTCCCCAAAACCCCTTTTTTGGTTGAAGGGTTGCTAATGGTGTAGAAAGATTGAATCTTTTTTACAGAACAGAAATGAAGAGCTCAATGGATTTTCTTGTTCTACTTCTTTTGATTTCACATTTAGTAGCTTTTGCCTTTTCTGCTAATGAAGGTGAGTTCTTCTACTATGTTCTTGATTTTGGCTTTAGATTCAATTGAACTCAGTTACTTTGCCTTTTTTCCTTGTTTGGACTATGATTTTTGTTTATGATGTTTATTTCTACTTGCATTATGTTATGGATTTGTCATATGTTAAATCAACTAATAGTTACCTTTATTCTTGATTGTAATCTTCTTCAGAAAAATTGTGTCTTTATGAGATTATAGATGCTATAGTTGAGTAAGTTTATGAGAAATTTAACTCTTTTGGTTATTTCTCTACCAACTTACTTTGAACTTCTTTGTACACATTAGTAGAACCAATCTTTTCTCCATTAGGCCTTGCAAAGTGTTCAAGAAAAAGGTAACAAAAACACTTAAATTGTTCCAATTTGTTGAGTTTCATAGCTAAACTATCAAGTGTGTGTGAGTTTTCTGTCTGTACTAGTATCAAATGCTTCGCGAAGCAAACCTGATTGTTCAGGTAGGAAAAGTGAACAACTTGTAGTTCATTTGTGTTTCCGTAAACATTTGGTGATAGTACAGGTAGGAAACTCACACACCTGATAGTTCATGTATGAAACTCAAAAATGAAAAAATGTAATGAATTTGTTATAGGGGTACTCATATTTGAATGTGAGCTTTAATGCATTTTGTAGGGTTTTGTAATGTGATTTCTAAGTTTTGATAAGACTCTTAAAACATTTTTGGTTAATTTTGTTCAAATATTTGACAAAAATCAAAAGTAGTTAACTTTGACAAAATGAGGCTGAATGCTTAAAGTTCAAGCCAGTGTTGTAAAGAGGCAAAATGTGGATACTTTTGCTGCACTCTCATTTCTCTATGATTTTTCTAAAGAAAGAGACTTTTTGCCTTAGTGGTCTTGACTTTTTCTAAACATGGTATCTCTTGATATATAGTTTCACTTTTATGATATTTTACAATCTGACCATCTTTCCAGATTTGTTCTAATGTGTCCCACCTCATGTGGCTTCCTCTGCAAATACTAGTAAAAAAATAGTGGAAACCCTTTGATGTGCTTCAAGGCTATTTTATTAATGTTCTTAAGAAGTAACATATTAAGCACATGGTGTGGTTGTTAGCTGCATTATAAGATTTATGTGCTCATTTGTTCAGTGCACATGGACTTTCTCTTGTCTTATTTTATTCTTCGTTCTTAGTACTACCTCTTTGTTTTCGATGCTTCAGTTATCGTACATTTTGTTGTTGCTACTTGTTCTTTTCTAAAGTGTTCTCACATGGTTTTTTCGCTACTGTATTTGTCTTACTTGTTTCTTGGACATGTTTAACTTAAACTGAGGATCTATTGGAAGCAACCTCTTTACCTTCATATGGTCACACCATCCTTCCCATGCCTCACTTGTGGTATTAAAACTGTATGTTGTCGTTGTTGCTGTTGTTATAACAGTGAGCATAATGTTATTTTGTGAATCTTCTTTGAGCATTACCAGAGAGTCGTCTTTGTGGTTTCTGTCTTTTGGCTGAAGATTCGTTCCAATTGATATTGAACTTAGAAATCTTGAAATAGAATGGTGGAATGTGATGGCTTATATAGTCTTCCTTTTCTAATTGTGATTTTTCGTCTTAATGATACTTAAGGGGGGCGTCTGGAACATCAGTTAATGTATCCTAATTGATATTTGATCAGGGTACGCAAGATTTATCAAAAAACAAATAAAAAATACAATGCTGCCTCCTCTTAATCACAAGTGCTCTATAGTATGATTGTATGAGCGAGCAAGCTTTTTTCTACTCTTTTAATTCATAACTCAGCCCATTATGATCAAAAGGACTATTGAGAGTAACAAAATCATCTGAATCAATGGGATAGCCAGTAGTAGAAATCGTGTGAATGAACTTGCCACTTTGATAATATTAAATGACAATCATAGGAAACAAAAAACTTTTGCTTAATACTAGAAAAAAAATACTGACCTGAGACGAACAGTAGCTTAGTCATCTACTACGCACATTTTGCACTGGAAGTGCCTCTGTAATACCAAGATGTGCCAGGAATGTCACGTAGCTAAGATGAACTCGCATCCTGCTTTTGACTATGTTAGACATCCCAATCAAATGCAGAAAAGTATGTGTCCTTGGCTATGGCCATTGGCCGCCTTGGTAAAGATAAATAGGCAGCTGATCACCTTGTTGTGTTGCAACTTGTGGAATCCTTTGAAGCCTTTGACCCCATAACTCAATCTGGTTCTTGATCAGGCCAAGAACTTGTAGTCAACTTTCATCTGGTTGTCCCACTCATGATGCGGGGGTGATTTGGTACGCCCTGTGCACGTCCACACTGTCTCAAAATATGGTTGCTTGTTGCACCACAATGTCAAGACAGATCAGAGGAATCTCTGCCATTCACAATGGTCGATAGCATGAAAACAAATCGTGCAATGTAGCAATGAGATGATTGCTAGAGGGTCTATACAAACTGTTAGGGATCATTTGGTATGCTGGACAAGCATAGATAATCCCGTGACAAAATAAATAGTATTGTCTTATGATAAGACTCTTATCCCTTGTTTGGTTATTAATCGGGGATAAGTTATACCAGGGTTAGTAATTGGTACAGGGATAATCTGTCCTGGGATATGTAAATGAAAATGACAAAAATACTATGAAACAAGGCGCATGGTACTTTTGTAAACAAACAACTTCTTAGAAATTATGCAATGTATGTTATTTTTATTACAATAAACCAAACAACTAATAAGAAATAATCCAAGGTAACTAATTCCAGCATAACTTGTTCTTCAAAACAAATGACCCCTTACGAAATGAAACAAGTAATTAGACAATGCAATACGAGTGATAAATATTTGAAAGCATGTCTGTTTTTGCAGTAATGGAAGAGCTGAAGCTGTTACATATTTTCTTCAGTTATATTATTCCTGTCATAGGCTCCTAGTCGACTCGCTTCATTTCTATTCACAGAATAGGTTAAATCAAATCGATTTGATTATGAAGATTGAGGATTAGAAGTAAATTATACGTGGGTAGACAGTTGATACATTTATTTACTTAGGCACCTGCCATCAATAAAAAATAAGAATTTCTACATTTCCGGGGTTGATAGACGACTAAAACTTTATAACTCTTCTGTTATATGAGTATCACATTTTCTGGTTAGTTAGACGTAATTACTTTTACTATGTTGGACTGGTCTTCATATGTATTATGGAATTTATCATGGTTATCAAGTCTGTGAAACACTAACACGGTGTCAAAACTTGTGTTGTTTTGTTATATATAAATTGTAACCGAGGGCCGTGACAGTTCGTTATTTTTAGATTTCTATTTCTACGTCTTATTCCTGTAGTCTCGGTTATCTTATTATGTTGCTGTTGTTTCTGCTTGTTGCTACTGCCTATCTTTATTGTTATTTGAGCTGCAGGTCTATTGGACACAGTCTTTCTACCTTCTCAAGATAAGGATAAAGTCTGTGTATGATCTACCCTCCCCAGACCCCTACTTAAGCTTATTTTTTTGTTGTTGTTGGCCATGACGGCTTGTAGATCATCTGCAATTGTAAAATTTACATACATTCATTATTATTATTCTCTTGTTCTTATTTCAATTAGAATTACTGCATTTCCCTGCGCAAGAAACCTTGACTTGATGTGTTTCAGCTTAATTGTTCCACAAGTGCCAGTTGATTAGGATATTATTTCTTCTATTATTACTGAAAGCTGCTTGACTAAACACTACTCAATCTTTCTTCTTTTCTGCCAGATGCTTTCGTTGGTGTAAACATTGGAACTGATGTCTCTGACATGCCCAGTCCAGCTCAGGTGGTGGCTCTCCTCAAAGCACAGCAGATTCGGCATGTCAGGCTATTTGATGCTGACCAAGCTATGCTACTTGCACTTGCTCATACCGAAATCCGCGTCATTGTTTCTGTACCAAATGATCAGCTCTTAGGAATTGGTCAGTCGAATTCCACTGCTGCCAATTGGGTTTCCAGGAATATCCTCTCTCATGTTCCTGCCACCAACATCACAGCCATTGCCATTGGTTCTGAAGTCCTTACCACTCTTCCTAATGCTGCTCCTCTCTTGGTCTCTGCCATGAAATTCATTCACTCTGCCCTTGTTGCTGCTAATCTCGACACTAAGATAAAAGTCTCCACCCCTCATTCGTCTTTTATCATCCTCGACTCATTTCCACCCTCACAGGCTTTCTTCAATCGATCGTTAGATCCTGTCATGGTTCCATTGCTCAAATTTCTACAGGACACCGATTCCTATTTCATGCTCAACGTATATCCATACTATGATTATATGAAATCCAATGGTGTGATCGCGTTGGACTATGCTCTCTTTCGCCCCCTCCCACCTAACAAGGAGGCTGTTGATTCTAACACACTCCTCCACTATACTAATGTATTTGATGCCGTTGTTGATGCAGCATATTTTTCTATGTCCTACTTGAACTTCACTAACATTCCCGTTATGGTAACAGAGTCAGGTTGGCCATCTAAGGCTGATTCCAGTGAGCCGGACGCCACTCTTGACAATGCTAATACTTATAATAGTAACTTGATTAGGCATGTTCTTAACAACACTGGGACTCCCAAGCATCCTGGGATTGCAGTTAGTACATACATTTATGAGCTTTACAACGAAGATCTCAGACCTGGTTCTATATCTGAGAAGAACTGGGGGCTTTTTGATTCCAATGGAGTACCAGTTTATATCATGCACTTGACAGGTTCTGGAACGGTGTTGACCAATGATACTACAAACCAAACCTATTGTGTTGCAAAGGAAAATGCGGATAAAAAAATGGTGCAAGCTGCACTTGATTGGGCTTGTGGACCGGGGAAAGTTGACTGTACTCCTTTGTTGCAAGAAAATCCTTGCTATGACCCAAATACTGTGTTTGCTCATGCATCATATGCTTTTGATGCGTATTATCACAAGATGGGCATGGCCGATGGAACTTGCAACTTCAATGGGGTTGCTAAAGTCACTACCACTGATCCTAGTAAGTTGTCAAACTATGTTGTCGTTTTTTTCTTTTTTCTTTTTTGCAAATGCTCATATGTACATGAATTTGCTGACTCGAATATTTGAACCTAAGATACAACATCACAAGTGTCTTGTTCAGTTCTTTCTTAATTGTTTTCAACATGGAAAATTATCCAAAACAAGAGATGACATGCCTTATGAGCTTCTTTAGGCCTAGTCTATTTAAACTTTTCGGCTTGTTTGGCTTCGTGGTGCTTCCAAAAGTGTGGATGCAGAGATGTATGTCTTCCATGTGCAATGCACATACACATGGTAGAGTGTTATGGAACTCAACAGAAAAAACTTAATACAGTTAAGACGGTGTTAGAAAGATTGAAGTAACATTGATAAATACTTGATTTTTCCCTTCAAAATCTGGTCACAGTGGTTTCTTTTAAGCTATTATGTGATACTGATTTGGACTTGTTCAAGAGTAATATGCGTGAACGTCTCTGGGTGATACTTTGAGAACAATGTTGTGATTTATATTATTATCGATACCTAATGTTTGTTTTCCCGTTACAGGTCATGGTTCTTGTATATATCCAGGAAGGTACTAATTTAGTCATTTCTGTTTGAGTAAGTTCCCCGTAACTTGTTATTCTTGCTCTACTATGACTTATGCCTTGTTTCTTTTCTTTTTTTCGTCTAGTGGAGGGAGAAATGGCACCTTCACGAATAGCTCCTCGGTTGCTCCATCATCAGACTCAGCATCTGGCTGTCATTCACAATATTCCCACGACGTTCATACTTTGTCTCGCTCTCTAATTGTTGGTTTGTTGACACTCTTGACTGCAGCTTCCTTGTAGCATAATGTGAATTGTGAACAGAGTTCCACTTGTCTTCCAATTTTGTTCCTCCAAGGAGAGTTAAGGTTGCGCGTGTGGTCCTTTAGATTGGTACACATGAACTCGTATGGAGGTTAGTGGTCTGGATTCGTTCCCCTATCGTGCAGTCGAGGCAGAGAAGGCTTGTTGTTGATTGCTGTAATTATCTTGTAGGATAGAGTCAATTCTTTTCCTTCTGAAGCTGAATTCTTTGTCTCGAATTGGGATTTTCGATCATAATGCTTTTGCATAAGATATTCTTGGTTGTAAGGGTCCGGTTTTCCTTGTTCAAACCGGTATTTAACGAGTAAGTAGTAAGTAAGTGAGAACTGGTGAATTGACCAGGTGGGGATAGAACTAAAAATTTCATATATATGCAAAGTACTTTTTCCCCTTCCATTATGTTTCAATTCAAAGTGCTTTTACATTAGTTATGGTCCCTTTTTTCATCATCCTTTGTCGTGCGAATGAAACGAACATATTCCACCTCTTTATCGTTCCCATATCATATTCACGAGGGTTTCATGGTGAATTTTTATCATATCAATCTCGAAATCGTGAACTCGATAAAATTAACAATATACTTATAATAATCATGTACATAATTTGATTACAATCATAATCCACTAACAAAATTATTATTTTCTATCGTTCAACTAAATGCATCTCTTTATTATATCGCAGTTATTACTTCGATTTCTAAAAAAAAATATAATCTTTATCTATTCATTCCACCTTCAACTGTTGGTGGGATGATCACACCACGATTTTGTCTCTCCACATTTCCATGCCATCCTGTTAAAATAAAATAAAACTAAATTAAGAAACTTAATTAAAAGACAAAATATTCATAATAAACTATAATTTTGAGATATCTCATATTTTAAGTTAAAAATATTTATTTTAGAAATATTTAAGTGTTGAATCTAGTTTTCAAGGAAAGATATAATAACATATTCAGCGAAATTTCACAAGTGAGGTCTGAAGAGGGGACATACCTTACTATTATCTCGTAGAAATAGAGAGACTGTTCTTTTTTAACATCTTGACCAAACGAAAATAGTTGCTCTAATTTTGTCAAAACACAATCTATTTTTAATATTGATTTGTTCTGGCTTGATACTATTTGAAATGACTGATAGTTCGATCACAAAATTCGTTATTAAATGACTACTAGAATATGTTTTTTCAATTGATAGTAACCAAACACAAACTCATACTCACAAAAACATTTTTTGTAAATTTTAAAAATTTGATCAAATAAGCTAATAGACTTTGACTTTACTTTTCACATTAATTTATTTTTAAAAATTAAAAATAAAATAATTTTATTTTTCTTACCAATTGACATATCAACTCCTTGATTTTTGAGCTCACGATATTCTTGACACAATGCACAAGCTTCACAAAAGCAATGAACCAGACAATCTCCACAAGGACTTTTTTTCAACAAATATTGTTGTCTCATTTTGTTACGATAAAAACAAGAGTAAATACATGGACAAGAAGTCACACATATTATTATTGTATATAATGCCCCATTTACTCCACAAGCTGCAAAAATTAAGGTAAAAAAAAGGTATAATTATGAAATTGAAGAGGGAAAAAGAAGAGAAATAACAGTTGCGTCTCAATTCTAAACAAATCAAGATCATCATAAATAGTTAACTCGACTTATTGTCATTTGTCATTTAACAAATAAAAAAAGTCATTTAATATTTTGAATAAAACTTATCATTAATCAATTTGACAAACATAAATCAAATTTAAGAGGTGAAGATATCAAGATGAATGTATTAATGAATAAAAATAAATGGATGGTGATTAATCTTTACCTAAACTTAAATGATTCCTACTATTCAATGACTAAGTCAACACCCTCTATTTTTTAAAATAAAAAAAAATAGAGGGTAAGAGAATGTGTGAGAGGATTATAAGTAAGAGAGTTCGAAAACTCGTTCCCGAAATAAAAATTCAGATAGTTAATCAATTGAACTATTTAAAATTTTTCTAACACATTTAATTTTTTTTTTGATCTTTCTATTTTGAAATAAAAGTGAGTTCGTTATTTATTAAACATAATAAAATCAGCAAAAATAAAATAAAATACTTACAATTAGATCCCTTGTCAATAATCTCAGCTACCTGTCCAAAAGTGATACATGGACACCATAATGTAATACAACCTAATCAAACAAAAAATGAAGAAAAAAAAAACACATTTTTTTAGTCCATTAGTAATTTTGGTCCTTTATAAAATTGATACTAAATTAATCTAAGAATCATACGATATTTTTTTTTAAAAGTGAACGAATAAAAATGAACTATACGAAAAAAATTCAAATCAAAATCTCAAAAATTAAACTTACAATTTTTGGGATCAGACATACAATCACATAATCCAGTTGACCATGGAACATCATTTTTCTTTTTTCTATACATTGCAGGTTGTGGATCCATCGTATCAACATAAAATCGAGTTTTCGAGCGAATCGGCGACGGCGTATCGTCTCCTGAAGAGGAAAATTTCTGGTATCGATCACTTAATGAAATTGTTGAAGATTTCATGATAATTGATTGATGAAGAAGAAAAAAAGATGAAGGGATGAGTTAAGTTCTTGAAACTAGATAACGTGATGATATTTTACTAAACTTTTGACTTTAGTATATAGTTGTAATGATATGATGAGATTGGTCCACTTATGTTTGAGGGTAGATCTAAAAAATACAAGTTTTTATTTTTTATTTATCAAAAAAATTAATAATTTTGACTATGTCAAATTTTTTGTAATAAATTTTGTCAGTTAGAATTATGAAAAAAATAATAATTTAGGCACATTTGGAGAAACAACTTTGATTGTTTTTAATCTCCTTTTAAGCTTGGTGTAATTTTTTTTGTTTTATTTTTACTTATTGTTTTTATCTATGTATCTTTTTTTTTTATTCGGTATTTCGTATTCGTATTGGATTCTGATTATTTCGTTAAATCTGAGACCTTTTTTTTATTCTTTGATGATTGTTAATCTGTGTTTTGATGTATAATATAGTGTTTGTGTTACTCAATTTTTAAAAGATTTAATGAGATTTTTTATAATTATATTTCTTTTCATAATTTTTATTAACTCAATTGAATATTTAAATAAGATTAAGAATATTAATTTTTGAACACATGAAAAAATCGAACATGTCCAAAACACACTTTAAAGACTATTTTAAATGAACAACATGGTTTGTGGTACACTGGTGAAAATGTTTCATCCTTAACTAAATGTCTCGGGTTCGAGTCCTGGCAACACAACCCTCGAATCGGCTCTGTATTGTATGATTCGAATTTAGTTGGAGTTCCAATTCGAACTCCGACAATAAAAAAAATAATATCCCAAAATAAAATTACCATTTTTGTCATTTTTATTTAATATGGTAGAGCCAAACAGAAATGGGGTCCAATAAAATAATAAATAATTGGCCTTAATCAAACTTTGACAATTCAAAGTTACAGCTCCTAAGAAACTTCATATTCCGCGTGTTTTAAGATATTATATGATTTTTCTTAATTGTAATTTTAATTTTAAATTATTTATTGTGATATATTTTTTTAAAAAATGTTAGTTGAATTATTTTTATTATTATATCTTAATATATAATTAATTTTTATTAATCGTTGCTCTATAATGAAGATATTTATAATCTTCAAACATAATTATTGTCATTAATAATTTTAAAAAATTAAAAATTTGATATTATCTTCAATGTGTGAAAAAAATATAATTTGATATTATATTCCAAAATTGATTACGACATATAATTTTATATAGAAAATATTTTCAAGGGTCATGATTGGAAGTTTGCAATTGACTTAATTAGTAATCACTTATGTGTTAGCTTATTTATCATCTAGTGTTTTTATTAATTTTGATATTCGATTAATTTAAATGACATATAAAATTTTATTAAAAGTAAAATATTTTCTATTAAAAACAATTTCGTTACTAAGTTATTAGGGTAGTTTGGCAATACAATAATTTCAACAAATTTTACATCATTAGTTATTACAAGAAAGAATATTGCCGTATAGTTTAATATAATAGACTTTGAAAATTAATTAATTCCATAGAATTTAATTCTGCCAGTACCCTCAATCTAAGTTATGTGGTAAGGGTCGTTTAGTAGCTTATTAGAGTTAGATATATATTAATAATATAGAGATTAGTTATGAAAATTTATATATTATTTTTAAATGAGGATAATTACATAAAATTTAGCTATTAGTTTTATAAAGAATTTGTACGATATAATTAATCAATAACTAATTAGATAATAAAAAAAGTAAAGTAGATAATTTTGGATGATTGATGATATACTTTTATATATATATATTATATCATAAGAGACACTTTGTTGCCTAGACTCCTTTTGTAATAACTCTTAAATATGCTTATTAAATAAATTTATCAAAAAATTATAAAAATAAAACAATTTAAGGTATCATAATCTCTAAAATTTCGTATCATTTTTAAAAAATAATAAAAATCTCTTGGATCTTCTTTCGGATACATTTTTCCCGTTAAGTAGTGTATCATTTTCAATATATCGAAAAATCAAAGAATATATTCGAGAAAAATGAAAATTTTTAAGATTTTTGTAATTGAGAAAACTTGTGGAATAGAATGTAATTAGCCTCCGCTTAAGGAAAAAAAATGAAGCTAAAATCTGAATTGGCTTGATTGTAGTGGGCTGCTTCTCCTGGGCCTGGATTCAATTGGGACAATCATGGACCAAGAAAAGAGAAACTTACGGCCCAATGATTCTGGGCCATAATAGTTTGGAAAAATTATATGAATCAGTACATTTTAAAAAATAATTTCTGATTTTAGCGATATTTTTTTATTTATTATCATTTATAGCAATATCGTGATGAATCTATAATATATATTAAACGTGAATTATGTCTGCAATATATATGAATTTTAACTGTTTTTGAAATATATTATGTTTATTTTGTAAAAAATTGTCACACTATATTATAAGTGTATTAAAATGTACGATAAATGTATTATCTATCACTACAACTTGTATTATATATGAATAATAAATTGTTCTTTGTAATATGTATTAAGCTTGTATTATAAATGAATTAAAGGTGATCAACTGAAAAAAAATGTTATTGCTATAAATGATAAATATTTTTTTAAATAGTACATTTACGTAAGTTTCCCCTACTACTTTTATCTGTTTAAATTTAAGAAAACTTGTATGAAATAATGATAAGGGAAACATACACAAATATAATGTTTTAGAAAAATATATATCACTTATAATAATAATATTTTTTTCTCACTTGAACTCTTTTAATATAATTTTAATACATATTACAAAGAACAATTTATGCACATGTAATACAAGTTTTAATGATGAATAATACATTTATCACACATTTTAATACACTTGTAATACAATGTATCAATTTCTTACCAAACAAGCATAATATATTTTTTTTAAAATAGTTATAATATATATATATATATATATATATATATATA